TCGATGCTGCAGGAGTCGATGCCAGGCTCTGGCACGGAAGTATCCCTGAACCTCATCTTCCGCGCGTCGCGGGACGGCTTCAGCACGCAGGCCTTCCACCAGAAGTGCGATCAGCAAGGCCCTACAGTGGTGGTGGCGAAGAGTGCAGGAGGTCACCTCTTCGGAGGATACACGGAGACTTCCTGGGACAGCAACAGCAACTGGAAGAACTGTTGGGAGGCGTTCCTTTTCCGCCTGGCAGGGCCTGGAAACATCCAGCCTTCCAAGCACGCGATCTTCCAAAGTCACCAGCACGGCATCTATTGCAACGCTGGCTATGCGGCCACTTTTGGAGGCGGGCATGACATTCACATCTACCCAGAAGGTGCTGCGGCCAAGGTGGCCTTCAACATGAACAACAGCACCTACAGCTGTGCCAGCCCTCAGGGCAACTTCACGTACCTGGCAGAGGCTTCGGAGGTTGTGGTCACGGATTATGAAGTGTTCGCAGTTGTCAGGAAGTAAGTGACATGACTGACTTTATAATGTGCAGCTGCTGTGCATGCTGCTGTTCCCCAAGCTTGCAGACATTCAGCCATGTGCAGAGCCATGCAACAAGGCGGGTACAGATCACTGTTCTGCGGCAAAAAGTTCGTCCCAAGCCGGCTAGGTAGCGAACTACAGTACTCATACCGGGGTCGATGCCGACTCTTCATGTTCTTCCGTTATTTTTCCTTCTTTCCCTGTTGCGTTCCCTCTTACCACTTCTGCGCTACAATCCAGTGTTCTAATTTTCGCAGTGCCTGCAAGGTTCCTGCAGGGCAGCTCCAGCTTGACCACAGGCTGCCGGCTCTTCGAAGAAGTATGAAAGACAATCTCATTGGGTTTTATTAGGATTTGCGGCTTCGTCTGGGGGTATGTAGTACGCAGGGGCCCCACTCATGTGAGAAGCGTCCTAGCGGAGAAGCAAGTCTGAACATGTAAGTGGCAAGCATAATTGTATTCCCTCGTGTTGAGCTACTTGCTTGCTTCGCAAGAAAAGATGCAGCTAGCACCTGAAAGCCTCCCGACAACAGCCAACCACTGAGGGCAATGGAAACCCGCAGCCATCCACCTCTTGGAAACTCAAAGCCCAGGGCTCAGGGTGCAAAAAGCTGATGCAGGTGGCCTCTCTGCTGGGATTGGATCCAGCTTGCTGTCTCCAAGCAAGTCCAGGCAGTTTGCCACTGCCTCAGACTAAGCACCAGCGGGGACACCGGTTGCAACGGGTAACAGGAGATGTGGCGGTACCTACACTTGTAGAATCACAGCAGTAGTAGCAATAATGATTGTAGTAGCAATGAATAGACTAGCAGTAGCCAAATAGCAACGTGAATCGTATTTTGTGTTGCACGACCCTCAGACCCTTCTAGTTTTCACCCTGGGGCGCATTCAGTTTCTGCGCGGCTTCTGGGGGAACTCCCTTTCTAAGTAAAGTACCTGGCTTATCTGCCAGATGTCACTGAGATGTCACTGGCTGTAGCTGGCAATTCAATTCAGATGGATTTCTGATAGCTTTTCAGATTCTGACGCTGAGTCTGAGGATTCTGGTGCTTCTTAGGGTCACCCGCAAGCCTTACAATCAAAACTCTTAAGCCCTCTTAAGCCATCCTTACTTCGGCAACTCTGGTACACGTGCCGCAAGTTCAATTGATGCTTTTCAGACTTTCCAGCCCGCAAATTGTGTTGTCCGTGCAGCTACAACTGGGACGGTTCTAGTTTGAAACATGCAGGGGACCACGTCTTGAATGGATCTTGATGATTGCTAACAAAACCTGCTCAATCGGCCAGTCTCAGAATAGCACTGAGAATATTCATCATGATCATGATAATGATTCATAGTAATATGAGCTATAGTCTAACAGAAAGGACTGTTGTGAGGCGGAGTTTTTTCAGTAACTTAGCGCTTAAAGCGCGCAATTGGGCTGAGGTTTCCTCACAACAGTCCTGTAAAGTCTTACTAAGCATGAGAACCAAGGTATCAGCTTCCTCACAACAGTCCTGTAAAGTATTACTACTAAAGATGAGTATCAATGTATCAGCATGAGTATCAATGTCAATGCTTGATTCTCTTAATCCATTAATCTATGTAATCCCGATGCGTAACAAGGGTTGTTTCGAAACAAGGGGGTTNNGGGGGGGGGGGAGGGTTTTAGCCAACATACTCAAGAGTTGTTACGCCCCCCCTCCGCGTCCCCTCTGTGAGGTATGGATGTGTTGATCTTGTTGATCCTGAATGTGTTGATGTCTCGCAGCCCGCAGCGTTTTTTGTAGCTTTTGCTTTCGGTGTAGCTGCTAGATTTGTCCTCATGTCGAAGAAAATCGCTGTGGAGGGCACTGTTATCTTGATGGATGGTAGGGCCGAGACTTTAGTTTGATTCCATCTATCGCACAGCCGCCTACTTCATCAGATAAGTCCTCGCATACCCAAAGAATGCAAAGAACTGGAATTTCCGCTTCTGTCAAGTCAATTGTATCTATAGGGTTTCGTATAAGGTATTCTAAAGGGTATTCTATAGGGTAGTATATGGGGATTCCAGATGGTATTCTATTGGTATAAAGGGTATTTAGGGGGTGTCATATACAGCATTCTATGAGGTATTCTAGAGGGTATTCTATAAGGTATTCCATAAGGTATTGTATAAGGTGTTTTATAGGGTATTTATAGGGGGTATTTTATACATTACTTTATTCTTTATATGAATCCCTGCTATACTTCTCTGAGATCAAAAAACACCTGCAAGGAACTGGAGCTTCCACATCTCTCAAGTCAACTGTATCTCCTTTGTCTCTTGATTGTGGACAGGGACGATTATTCCGTTCCCTTCATAGGAATAGAGAGGTGGCCAAATTAGTTAGTTGTTGGTTGCTTTGGGGTTTAAGTATTGTCATTTAAAGTATTCTATCAGGTATTCTAGAGTGTATTTTATAGGGTACTGCACAAGGTATTGTATAAGGTGTTTTACAGGGTATTTATGGGGTGTCTTCTGTAAGGTATTCTATTCTCTATATACATCTTTTACTATATACTTCTTTTTTTGAAGAGTAATTCCTAGATCCTACATTCCGTTTTTCCTTCATATAAACCCTTTACTCAATAACTTACAATTCAATTGGAATTCTCAGATC